CAATCCAAGATACTTGAGATTTTGATCAGAATCCTCGATCAACACTCCGAGTTTTTGAACACATAGCTAAAAAATAAAATGGAAGAATCCAAGGTAGCTGAAACTGGTGTAGCCCTACTAGCGTACCNATGAAACGGATGGCAGTTTCATTTAGATTATACCACCTACTACTGAAGGGAAAATTATGGAGTCAAGATGAGCCTTTCTCGGGAATTAAGAAGATTAGGTCCCGTCTTGAGATGTAATGAGACTATCGCCGTCTCTATCACAATGAGACCAGAAGGCTAAGTATTTTCGACATCTATGAAATATCTATGGTGGTTTTTATAGATATCCCCATTGCGCGGAAAGGGGTGAACCAGCTGCTGGTTCAGATTGTTTCGCCACGGACTAGCAAAGCATATTCTCAGGAAATGATGTGAAGGACTTGTTGAAAACGTCTTGCCACAAATGAACGCTGGAACCAAGTTAAACGAGACATTCATAGAGCAAGTCTTTTTGGGTAATGATTTCATGATTCGACTTATTCCGATAGAAGCGAACTTCATTCAAGGTCGTATAAGAGCAAGACAACTTCCTTTCAAAAGACCGTTCGAGATGTTCTTGAAGCTACAGTACGACTGCAGACAGCTAGCGGGAGGTACAGAACAGTACTGCATGCACGGTGAAAGTCACTTTGCAAAAGTGTAAAACAAGTGCATGCTTTGAGGATCCAAACCCTAAACCATGTCTGTAGGCCACATGTGATCCCCTAATTTAAGAGCCCGAATGTTCGACGAAATCCCACAACACTCGAAGAAATACTCCCGTAACCTCATTCTCAGAATTGTTTCACGGATTTGAGGTGAGGATTCCAAACCAGCGTTCGGAACCACAGCGGTATACATTTCATTCTGAACGAACATCATGAACATAGCATCTTTCACTTCTAGTACCTTACCTTATACGTATACTCTCATCCTTATCATCCAAGCATCTCAGCACTATATCTTTATGAGCCTGAACAGCCTTTGGATGGGTTTGAAGAATTTTGCCCATTGCCAGCAATCCAAGATACTTGAGATTTTGATCAGAATCCTCGATCAACACTCCAAGTTTTTGAACACATAGCTAAAAAATAAAAAGGACGAATGCAAGGTAGCTGAAACTGGTGTAGCCCTACTAGCGTACCTGTATACTGGCTGCGTGGTCACCACCAGCCGATATGCTTATCAACACTAAAAACGAATTATTAGATGGGAAACATTGAACATTGCAAAATTTAATCTGGTAATTTACCACCTACCAGCTATAACGGTGTTGATGCATTCATAGAGTAAGGACATGGCGGAAGTGCTGAAAAAATTTCATCACTGAAAGTCTCTCCGACAACTGATTGCTATTACTTACAAGCGTATAAAGCTTTTGGTTTTAACCGCTATGTTTGTCTTTTCAATCTGAGCATTTTCAACTTACTCAATCAGATGAACCAATAAAAATCTGCTTGGCGAAGATGCAACTGATAACTGAAGATTTCAGTTTCTTCATTTTACTAACCTTTTGTTTTTTTTTT